AAGCTTACATATCTTGGAAGCGCCTTGACAGAGGACGGTAAGTGCGACACAGAGATCCGTAGGGGTATGGGGATGGCCAAGGACACATTCCAAAAGCTGGGAAGAGTATTACGAGACAGGAGCATTTCTTTGGTAATAAAGAAAAGAATACTGAACTGTTACGTGACATCTGTCCTTTTTTTTACGGCAGCGAATGTTAGACAATTTCCTCAAAGATGAAGAAAAGACTCGAGACGACAGAGATATGGTTCTACAGAAGGATGCTAAGGATATCATGGACCGAGCGTGTGAGCAATGATAGTGTTAGAGAGGTTGCAAACAAGGAGGAGGCTTATACTTAATATCAGGAAGAGGCAGCTGAAGTTTCTGGGACACATAATGAGGAAGGAGGGCCTGGAGAATCTGATACTAACGAGTCGAATACAGGGAAAGAGAGACAAGGGAAAAGAACGCATGACATACCTGGCGGACTTAAGCAAATGGATGACAGAACGTGTTCTAGGGGAGGAAGCAGAGGTAAGGAACTTGTTGAGAGCTGCAAGGGATAGAGGGAGGTGGAGGGCTATGATCACCTACGTCCTGAAAGGACATGGCATATAAAAAGAACTAATGTTTCTAATGGGAAGAAACGTAAAAAATATCTTCGAAAATTGTTTTATTTTAGATACGCTTTTTAGAAAAGTTTTAATGAGAGAATTTTTTATTTGTTTCATTGAACTAAATAATAGTGTGTAATACAGTTTTAAAAAATGGCTGGTATTTCGTCTTGTTTATCGTCTGTTTCATTGAATTTCAGAAACATGACTGTTTTGATGCTTCGGCCAGCCAAGCAAACAAATATCAGAATGAGGCTGCCTATTTTGCGACCAACCAGCGCATGCTCACAATAAAATTTGGCAGAGAACTCACTCGCAAATCGTAGTAAATTATTCTTGCATGTTGTGCTAAGTATGGCACATGGCGATGATAGGATCAAGTGGTGATCTGTGCTGCTAGAGCCCGATAAAAAGAGATTAAAAGTTACGCCACTTTTTTAAGTGGGAATTATCTTAGCTATGGGTATGAATAGCTAAAGAGCCACTTGACCCAAGAGAATTTCATAGACATCGAGGCTTGTGCTCGTCGTTTTATTCAAGAAACACTAGTAAAGTTTCACTTTTATACTTTATCATAGAGTCAAAGAAAAGGAAGTTATGCAAAGTATTGAAGAATTCTATCGCCGTAACTATTTTTGGTAAGCATTACTGTAAAAGAAAGTTTAATGCGAATTAAGATGAGAAATATTTGTTCCTCATCTAAGTAAGAACTGATAGTAAACGAGAACACTAGGAAGAAAGAAGGCGAGCCAATATTACTGATAGTTAAGATTTTCAATGTTATCTTTACAATGATGAAGGAAGAAGGGCGGGGATATGAAAATGTGAACGAAGTTCTACTAGAGTAGAGTTTGGCAAAATACCATTTTTCTCGATTCTAGTATCAGTGTACTACGATTTGCGAGTGAGTTCTTTGCCAAGTTTTACTTTGAGCATGCGCTGGTTGGTCGCAAAGTAGGCAGCCTCATTCTGATATTTGTTTGCTTGGCTGGCCGAAGCATCAAAACAGTCATGTTTCTGATATTCAATGAAACAGACGATAAACAAGACGAAATGCCAGTCATTTTTTTTTTAACTTTATTACTCACTTTTTAGTTCTGCTCAATCAATGAAGCAAATAAAAAATTCTCTCATTAAAACTTTTCCAAAAAAACGTATCTAAAATAAAAAAATTTCGAAGATATTTTTTATGTTTCCTCAGATTAGAAACTATATATCCATTTTATTGACTTTTCTAGTAATTTTATTTCGTCGAATACTTAAAGATTCTAACTTTATTATAATATTAAATTTATATTTATATTTTCAGCTTTACTGACACGTTTTTTTATGTTGGAGATAGAGTTTGTTGACCACTTGAAAAAGGAAAAAGAATAAGGAAAACTCGAAATAAAATTAAAATTTGGTACAGGGAGTAATTTCAAGATTTTTAAGTATATTAAATAGATAGTGATGTAATGGAATAAACAGTCACCCCCATGAATGATTACACTATAGGTAGTAAGTACCTATAAAGTCCACTGTCTACGAGAGACTCGAGGATAGAGAGAGGAGGAGAGAACGAGATGACGCAAGCACGCCCGACCTTCCAATTAGTGGCATTCACTACTAGACTGACCTGTGTGTATAACTGTACCGTATTTCATATTGTACTTGTGTACAATAAACCTTTCTTCTAGTAGTCACCTGGTGTCAAGTGTTTATTCTCTTAGCAGCGAATATAACAAATAGAAACAAAGTTTATATATATTTACCAGAGACCAGCTCAAATTAGAACAAGGAGGAAATTCTTTTCTGTCAGACGACTAAATGTAAATCAGAATGGGTTAGTAGATTTTACGACACGTCAATCTATGTGCGGCTATTTAATTTCTATATCTTATTTATCTTATTATATCTAAGCCTGAAGGTAAACATTGGCTGGGTTTATACTTGAGTCAATAGATAAACATTTTTTAGGGTTTATACTTGGATGTATAAGTAAACAGTGATTGGGTTTATACTAGAGTCTTTGGGTCATCATTGGGCGGGTTTATACTTGAGTCAATAGATAAAAATCTTTTGGGGTTTATACTTGAGTGTATAAGTAAACAGCTATTGGGTTTATACTAGAGTTTTTAGGTCATCATTGGGCGGGTTTATACTTGAGTCAATAGATAAACATTTTCAGGGTTTATACTTGAGTGTATAAGTAAACAGTGATTGGGTTTATACTAGAGTCTTTAGGTCATCATTGGGCGGATTTACACTTGAATCTATAGGTAAATATTGATCGAGCTTATACTTAAATATTTTAGTAAATATTCTTTGTGTTTATAATCCCAGAAGGTCGCCTTTTGTTATTTATTTTACCTACCTTTATGTAAAGCAGTCGTCGGTGTATTTTAGAGCGCACTGGTAGGGCAATCTAAGCGTACAAAGCTGCAATCTTGAAAATTAGCCTTCTAAAACATTTTTACCTGGGCTCGAACACCGAAACTAGTGAGAAAAAGAATCCAAATGTTCATTTATTTTGTTTTAAAAGCTTTTCGGCTGCTACATTCTTCAGCCTTCCTTAGGAATACTTTAACTTCTGTTCGCTCTTAAGTGACGCTTTGTAAGACCTTACACCTTTTCAAGAGGATCATTATTATCGAAAATCAGTATTGTTCCTACATGTCTAAATTGTAAATACTAGTAGGGAATTTTATTTTTGTAGTTATTAAATAATAATTAAATTATTAGCAAAGCAATATATTTTCAGTTTTTTTTTATCATTTCACCACGAGAAAGGCGATATAGTTTACAGGTTGAGCAAATTTAAAATTAAAAGCATAGAAATGAATACAATATGGGAGCCAGTAATAAGGAGTGCTAGAGAAATGCAATGAATAACAAAAAAAATTGCAATATAAGCTCTGGTAAAAAAAAAATGCAATAATAACAAAAATTGCAATATGAGCACTGGTAAAAAAATGTGGGTGAGACATTAGGTTCATAAGTCCCAAAAATTCATCCACAGATGTCCTCATGGACACAATGGCCCCCAGTGGATAAAGGCGTTGGTTAGGGCCATTGACTAGACTCAAAGAATTACCAGGCCACAGCAGAGGGGAGAGTTAAAGGAAATAACTGAGACATCCGGAAGAGGCATGTCACGGAGAACTAGAAAAATCTACCTCCGGTGGAAGAAATAAAAGGTTCGGATGGAAATTCCAATCACCTGAAGAAAGCCTGAGCGTACAACGGCCGAAACGTTGGGAATATGGAAACGAGGATAACAGTCCAAATAATGTAAATAATGTAAGTAAAATTTTTCAATTGTTTCTTTCAAAGAATTATTTATATTTTTGCATATAAAGTTATTTTTCTCAGGAAGCATAAGATGACTTCGACATTTGCAGGGTTAAATAATTCTTTGTTTTAGTTTATGTAGCAGAGTTTTCTCATCAGTGCAAAAATTGGTGCAAAAATTGGTGCAAAAATCGGTGCATCCTGTTAGAATACATTTTGCAACGTAAGGCTTCTGATGAGCTGCACATACCGTTTGGTTATCTTGTGAGTGTGATTTTTGTATGGCCACTACGTAATCCGGGCAGGAAGACTTTTTTCTTTTTCTTTTTTTTTTTACAGTAAGATTCACCCTGTACAAGGCCCGGGGGCCAGTCGTGTTCGAGGGTTACGCTTAGGGGTAGTTTATAAGGATAGGAGTGGAAATAACGGTTGACTTGAACGGGTTAAGATTTTATTGATCGGGGAAACATCCTCTTGGGAGTCTGTTATATAGGGCATCAGTTTGCTGGAAGAAGCTGTTTGAGTGGAACTTAATTATCGACGATGGGATACAAAGGGAATGTGGGTGGTGTGCTACTATGGAAGTGGAATGGCGGGTCCTAGCCGTAAAAGTTAAACCTGGTGGAACCAGGAGATACAATTCGTCCGAACACTTTCCATGGAAGCAGCAATGGAGCAGTAAGAGGCTCACTACATCCTGCCTGTGTGAGAGAGGTTGGGGTGGGGGAAATAATTCTTCTCCAACAAGGACTCGAAAACACATTTGAACGCTAGGAGGACTGAAAAAAGTGTGGTCTGGTCAGCTCCTGCCCACATATGGCAACAGTACTCCATTTTCGATCTGATCTGACTCTTATAAAGGCAAAGGATAGCATGAGGAGTCAGGTACTTACTGGAGCGGTACAGGGAGCTGATCATTTTACCTGCATCATTAGCGATGGATCGTATATAAGAGTTCTACTTGAGGTCGGGTGTGAGTTTCAGGCCCAATATTCTCTCAAGGTACGGTGACTCCTTGAGGGGACATTCTTTTATCGTGGTCGGTGGTAATTAAGGATCAGACCGGCCGTGATGCATATTTTTCTAAACCCTCGTTTCTAGACATCCAAGGAGGCTTGTATTGAGTGCAGTATGTTTTGGGCGTTTTCTTTTTTCAATTGTTGTTACCATTTTTATGGAGAAAATCCACTGGTTAGATTGATAATTTTTTATTCAATTTGCCTTTTATGGCGACTTACATTGTTGTCATTTGTTTCTCGATGGTTTGGTTTGGGGGTTACTTACCGGGTTATTTAATGCCAACAAGATTTTTATTGCTTGTAATATTTTTTATCTATCTATCTATCTATCTATCTATCTATCTATCTATCTATCTATCTATCTCTCTATCTATCTATCTCAGTATATATTGTTTTGTTTTGTTTTGTTATACGGCATATCAACCTCAATGGATTATTTAATGCCGAAAAGATTTTTATTGCTGGTAATATTTTTTATCTATCTATCTATCTATCTATCTATCTATCTATCTATCTATCTATATATATATATATATATATATATATCTTGGTTTCTTCTTGTCTATCTGTCTCTCTTGGTCTCTTCATGTCTATCTATCTATCTATCTATCTATCTATCTATTGGTTTGGTTTGTTTCGTTTTTCGGCATATCAACCTCAATGGGTTATTTAATTCCGAAAATGTATTGCTGGTAATTTTTTTTTCCAGGAATCTATTGCTGGGAATATTTTGTTTTTCATAATTGTATTGCTGGATATTTTTTTCAAAAATGTAATGCTGGTAAAAATTTTCCAAATATGTATTGCTTGTATTAAAATCTATTTTTATACTTTCAAATGTTTTGTCATCTTTTGGAGGGGTTAACTATTTGCCTACAGCTGGGACCCTAACAGGTGCTAACATCCCGGCTCAGGGTGCTAACACACCGGGTTAGCAATTAAGAAGTGGTTCCACGCTCCTCAAAACCTTCTGGTCAAAGGTCTTGCTGTCGGATTTAGTTTATCGTCTTACCCAGGAAGCGGGTGTAGTTTATCGTCATACCCATGAAACAAGACGAAATGAATGGCATCTCATTCTTATCAGCTTTCAGTTCAGGTGTAAACATGTGCTGTAAAAGCAATTAACTTCCTTTGGCTTACAGCACGAGAACGAAGATAACAAAATTCAAATAAGCTTTTGCATTAATAAGTTATGTTGGGAATCGTTCAACCTTAGTGATTGACTAATAACCTTAAAAAAATGGAGCTTCCGCCCTCTCAATTTCTCTGTTTTCTTTTCTTCAATTAATGTTCTAATTTGTTTTTTCTCTTTTAGAATTTTTATTTTTCTTGGTTTTCTCTTTTCTATGTTACCCCAATTCTCTGTTCTCTAACAACCTGTCTGTTTATCTTTCTCTTATTCTCTCTCTGTTTATATAAAGTACAGCTATTAAAAATGGAAATCCTTTGAAAACTCAAAAATTCACAAAGAGCCATTAAAAAAAAGATACTAGATAAAAAAGAAAACAAAAAGAAATAGCTCTCAACTTGAACCAGAGAGAACAAGATAATAAATACAACAGACGTGAATAAACGATGAAAATGAATGTAGGAAAAGCACATAGAAAAAAGAAAAGATTACAGGTGGAGCAAAAGGTGTCCATTGGGTAGTAGATGATGTAGGAGAAAACCAGACATAAGATGAAAATATAAAATGGAGGTTTACTCTCGGAATTTGTAGCATGAGGAGTTATCATTATTTATACTATTTACATTCGAATTAATATACTCGTTTTTGCCGTTATTTGATCTTTCTCCGCCAGGCATTCTTTAGGTGTCAGCCAACCCGTGTACCCTTCAGGGAATTTTAAATTGATCCATTTATTTTAATTATAAATTATATTTTACTTGTTCTGCTGCTAATGCCTAGAGATATCTCATCTTGTTCTTATTAAATACTCGGCTCTGTCACTGATTCAGTGGAAATCGAGGTTAAGACACTATCAATTTTAAGATTCGTAAGACACGCTCGAGAATATATAACCAGTATATATTACTGGAAAATCATGACCGAATATAATCAATCACGGTCGTTATAAAAGGAATCTGAACTGAAATTTCTTTTGCAACGTTTAATATATATATATATATATATATATATATATATATATATATATATATATGTTGGGGCCACCCACCTTCTCATCAGAATGGACTGATCTCTCTACTACTAATAGGAGAGTTCTGGAGAGATCAGGTGACCATCACACTTCCGTCTCTCTACCGGAAGATACAGTTGGACTTTATACTCTTCCTGATTGTTACTGACTAACCTGCGTTCATTTGACTACTAATGTCTCTGTTGTAAATACCTCTTCAGATATACCAGTATTTTTCCCTACGTATGTGTTTGTCCTTATTTCAATACACGCACGGGGAAACACTCAATATCTCAACATATATATATAGATTTTGCTCCTCGTCAAGAGGTTGTGCGGAAAAGGGTTGAAAGTTTTGTGGGCCACCGGGAACCTCTTCTCGCCACTGTCAAACGGAGAAAAATGGCGTAGTTACGACAGCCTGTGCAAGGCACCGTTGAAGGTGAACATAGGAGAGGAGGTCAACGCAAAAACTGGTTGGACAATGTCAAAATGCCGGAATTGACCGTACCAGAATTGCTGATGGCTGCTGTTGATAGAACGTTGTGGAAAATACTTGGTGTGGCTTCTGTATTCAGATCCGCCCCACGATTACAAAAGTCAAGATGATGATGATGATGACGATGATATCTATCTATCTATCTATCTATCTATCTATCTATCATTACAAGGCACGAAAGCCTGTGCACGATCATCATGTAAGGCGCCGTGGAAGGTGGACGTAGGTGAAGTCGCCAACGCAAAAACTGGTTAGACAATGTTAAACAATGGACAGGTATGACCAGAATTGCCGATGGCTGGCGTTGATAGACTGCTATGGAGGAGATTTAGTGTGGCTTCGGACCCCCCACCCTTACCATTACAAAATTCAAGGGGATGATATATATCCTAACGGACCTCTCTCTCTCTCTATATATATATATATATATATATATATATCAGTTATGTGCCATACACGCTTAGGCGATCACGTATCTTTCGATACATGACTGACGAGGCAGATTTTTTTCCCGCAGCAGACCAGATTTTTTCTGCGGTGGACCAGTTGTCATCCAAGGCTATAGAACCCGGTCTCTCCTGCTATTTGCCCATGACTGGTGGGGGGGGGGTTGGGGGAGAAGAAGTGGATTCATACCTTTCCAAGAGTATTAGCACGTAAGTGGATTCGACTGGATTTCGAACGCGGCTCTCCGATTCCTCAATCCGAGCCGCTATCCATTACACCACCGTGCCTCATCCTAAACGTCATTTTTAGTGAATACGGCTGGTTTTCTGTAGCTCAATTCGTTAGATCGGGCCCGGTCTAACGTTAGCTTCCTCTGAAGGTTTGAATCCTGACGGAAAGCGCAAAGTTTTCTTTAATAAAATTAATAATAAATACACTGTTTTATAAATAAACGAGACATCTACTCAGATACGAGTATCCACTAAAAATACCTTTTAAAGTGATAAAAAAGGGATTAATAAAAACTCCATTACTTTCTTTAGAAAAAAAACTATATATATATATATATATATATATATATATATGATAAATTTTTATTTATATTGTGACAGGATTTATTACTTAAAAGTTATTTTCATTGGATACCCATATTTGAATAGACGCTCCGTTTATTTATTATACAATATATTTATTTATTTTTGTCTACCGGTCTGTTGAATATTGAAGAAACTTGTCAGTCTGGTAGACGAAATTAAATATACCCTTAAAAAAATTAACGGACCGTCTACTCAAATATAGGTATCCGCTAAGAATAACGTTTAAGTAATAAGAATAAGAATATATATATATATATATATATATATATATATATATATATATATATATATATATAAACAAACACACACACACATATATATATATATATATATATATAAGAATGGGTAAGTGATATGTCCCAGAAAGGGATATATTTGATCGAAATAGCTAAGTAGTTTTGGTATCCAAGTAGTACACGGTAGCAGTTAATCGACCAGTACTCGTCGTAGTCGCAGGTAATAGGTGTAGACCAATAGGGCAGCCAATGGCGTAGTTCAATGGGCGTCGCCATAGACTTAAACTCTGTCGTACCTACACGTCCGTCGGTATTTATGACGGACACCAGCCAATCATATTCCAGTAAGGGGGAACTCAGGTGTATGCATATTCCATTATATCAGTAAGATAAAAAAATCTTCATACACGTACATATAGTTGTAGGTACGTATAAACATATTTCTTCTTCACGTGTTATAAATACAGTGCTCAGTGTTATGAAACAGAGCTATAAGTATATATTAGTGAATATGCATAATATCCAACGTTGATAGCACGTCTTGGAGTCTCATGCAGTTCTGGCAATCTTCAGGTGCAAATATGTTTCTAAATATGTTAGAACTTATTCACACCTGAAGATTGAAAAAACTACATGAGACTCAGACGTCTATCAACGTTGGATATTATATATATATATATATCGTTAAAAGCGGTCAAAAAGGGGTCAAAACACTATAAAAGTGTAAAAATAGGTTTTAATACCAACAATAGTTTTTTTTTTATCTGTTTATATTTCTGTAATGTGGTATAATGTACAATATTTACATTGTTCGGACTATCATCCTCATCTTTGTTGCCATATTTATCACAAAGTTGTACGCTCAACGACACATGGCACAGTGGATAAAGGCGTTAGTTAGATCCAGTGACAGGACCCAAAGAGTGTGAGTTCAATACCTGGTTAAGGTGGTGGAGACCTTGGAGAGGGGAATTAACAGAAGATAACTGATAACTGACGTCCATTAGACATGGCAAATGGAACTAGAACAGTCTGCACCAGCGAGCGAAATAAAGGGTTCACTTCGACATTCTAACAACCTGAAGAAGGCCAGAGCGTACAACGGTCGAAACGTTGTGATAAATATGGCCACAAAGAAGAGGATGATAGTCCGAACAGTGTAAAGTTTTTTTTGAAAAATTCTTACCAGCAGTACATTTTTGAAAAAGAAAAAATATTACCACCAATACATTCTTGAAAAAAAAAATTACCAGCAATACATTTTTGAAAAAAAAAGTATTAGCATCAATACATTTTTGGAAAAAATTATTACCATCAATAAAAATCTTGTCAGCATTAAATAACCCATTAAGTTTGGTATGCCATCAAACAAAACAAACCAAAGCAAACCTTAAACAAACTCTAATCAACAATAAGGACGTTGTTGACGAATAAATAAAATTAGACTTAACGAATTTTAGAAAAAATTCCACCAGGCCCTTCCCTGATGTAAACAAAAATAAACACACCATTAACTGATTCTATCGTAACCAGATGCACTCTAATTATAAAAAGGATGAAAAAGCAATTAAAATCTTAATGCGCCGATACATATCACTCGGTGATCCTAACAAACACTTAAGATTTATCATCTACTATAAAAAAAAAAGGTTAAAACATTTAATCTAATTATTACACAAGGCCTAAAAAACATGTTTAAAAATAATGTTGTCTATGAATTCTCATGTCTCACTCCCTGAGAGATTGCATCTTTAACATGTATATAAAAAAAATCACCGTATTAAATGCTTACATTGGGCACACATGCACTACACTCTCTCACAGTTTGACCTGTCACCTGTCGTCACAATCCGTGCACACGTTGGCAAGCACATCACAAATGACCAAAGTACAATATCAACATCAGACAAATACTAGTAGATAACATCAAAATACTTTACAGCAGGGGTTGGCAACCTTTTGCTTTGTGCCGACTTAGGGTTTTAAAATCATTCAGTGTACCAACAACATACGTATTTTTATACAAGTCAAGATCAATATACCTGTTCTACAATATATTTTATATAGTAATATATAGTAGATATACTTTAGTATATATTAAAATTGAAACAGCTAAATATCTTCTTTGCGTTATAGTAGTTATCTGTTCGGACTTCGTGATGTCATTTGCGGCTGCGTGCCATTGGAAGTAGCTTGGCGTGGCACGTGTGGCACCGTGGCACGCGTGCCCTAGGTGACCGACCCCTGCTATACAGCACCCAATGTAAGGAAAGATTCAAAACTTTAGAACTATCATAATACAAAATAAACAGCTGACATGAAATAAAATATCATTCACTACAGGCGGCACTATATTGAAGTGCAGATGTACGCAATATCTTTTATTAATATAAGAAAAAACAAACAAATAAAATAAACAACTAAATAGATTATATATAAGTAAATAAATCACCTTCTTCTTGTTTCGGACTCGTTCCCAATAACCATCACAGCTTTCTGCAGAATATCAGGATGTAGACACGAAAATTTTTAACTGCTACACAGACACCATACCGCTTCGTGTAGATGAGTGGCGATTGTCGTGTCGAAAGTACTTGAACAAAACAATAACAAAATATATGAACTTCGGGTACAACTTCGACCACAATACTCGAAAACATTAATCGAAAACTGGAAAAATATAATAAAAGCAACTTGAAAGTGGCCGTTTGACCAACACAAGGACTGACGAAAATTAGCGATAAATACAAATGAAAACTACAGATAAAGTTCACTTTCTTCAGAAACAGTCATTCACTCCTGTAGAGAGTAGCTACTAACTAGCAGAGAATTTTTCTCCTGATGATGGCCATGCTGGCTGAAAGTCACCAAGGAACATAATTGAAATAATAAAAAAAAAAGAATATATTAATGCACAAACCAGTGTGTTTGAAAATCTTAATTTTTTAATACTTTTTATTGTTCAAAACACACACACACAAAACACACACACACACACACACACACACACACACACACACACACACACACACACACACACACATATATATATATATATATATATATATATATATATATATATTTATATATTTATTTAGGCAGCAAATTCTTTTTTTAGGTATGCCTGAATAAATAAATTACAAATATTATGTCTGCTTATTTTTAGCATAATCCTTTCATATTCACGAATATTTTCCGTGTATTACAATCAAATGAGGTAATAAATACATTGTAACATTTCTTGCTTCATCGTGAATATAAAAGGATTATTCTAATGTTAAAAATAAGCAGACATGATATTTGTAATTTATTTAATCAGATATACTTTATATATATATATATATATATATATATATATATATATATATAGATATAGATATACAAACAATTTTATGAGTTTCCACCGACAAGGTCTGCATATTCCATTTTATATATATATGGAAATATATAAAATTGTTTAGATGAAATATTACTGCCTAAATGCACCTTATATGTAATGTACGAGGGGAGGTCTTTGAATGATTCCAGGCTGTGCCACAAAAGTTTGTTGGCAGGAGCCGAGAACTTTTCAGCATACTTGTAGACAAAAATACACTCCCACACACGCACATCGCATCACATCACATAGATAGATAGATAGATAGATAGATAGATAGATAGATAGATTTTGTACAGAGGCGTTTTCGGTCTAAAACATTTCCAAAAAGCTAAATGACCAAACATCAGAAATTTAGGAGGAATTGGGCAGATCGAAACTTTACAAAACACCCACTTAATTTGATATATGTGAATCGGATGGGGATACATAGACAGATAGATATGAACAAATAGATAGATATGAACATATTGTGATAACTATCTATCTAGTTAGTTAGTTAGTTATACATATATATATATATATATATATATATATATATATATATATATTAATATTATAGGTACATAGATATCTGCAGGCTAATATATATATATATAT